TGTGTGTGTGTGTGTGTGTGTGTGTGTGTGGCCAGCTCAGCCCACCAGGGGGCGGGGCTGGCTGGCATGTGGTGCTGGGGGATTGAACCGTGGTCTATGTGCGTTGCTAAGCTTGTTCTAAGTAGGTGCTTTAGACCACTAAGCCATCTCACCAGCCCCTGTGTTTGATTCTTTACTTCAGATGCTATAAGTTCAGATAATTCTTTTTTTCATTTTAGAAATTAATTCTGCTCCGAATTCCTCTATATCTTTCTGCTGTTGCTTATTTACTTTCGACACTATTAATTCATACATTTCATCTGAGCTAGTGTTCTCTACACTTGTTCTGGGTGGACACTGGGTTTCCTCCATATGTTTCTGCATTTGATTCTTTACTGCAGATGCTATTAATTCAGGGATTTCTTTTTTTTTATTTCCAATCTGAGTTCCTCTATACCTTTCTGCAGTTGTTTCTTTATTTCAGAAGCTCTTGATTCACTGATTTCAGCTGTGTGATTCCCAGTTTGTTCTGTGCTAGTGTCCTCTGCACTTATTATGGATGGTCTTGGGGTCTGAGATTGCATTTTGCTCCTTCTTGTTGTCATTTTGTATAGCACTGTCCTCTGACTTTTGTTGTAGAGCTTTGGTGCAGTTATATCCTTAGTACCAACCAAAATTCAGGGGCAGATCTACAAAGTTTGAACTTATCCAGTTGTGCCTGGCTTGGGTCTGGCTGCTGTGCTCAGCTCCTTCCTGCTGCAGGCCTTGGGAGTGAACCTGTTGTGCCCCTCTGGCAAGATGTTCTGTTCCTGGACTAGCTGGGTGGTTTTGTCCCCTACTGTCTCTGCAGGGACTGCAGCTGCAGAGTTTCACCCCAGGCCTGTATGCCAGGCCTGAGCTGAGTCTGAAGGGGACAAGCGTGAGTAGAGGAGAGGGGAAGTTCTCCAGCACACTCACCGGGCCTGGGCTAGGAATGGATCTGGGGGTTCCGATAATGCAGCACAAGTTCTCACTCACTCGGTAAGCATAGGAGGAGGGGTGCTGCAGGTGGGGGGTGGTCCCAGAGACACGGGAGAGGGTCTCACTCACACTGCGCCTGGGTTTGGACTGATGTAGCATGAGTTCAACAATGCTTCCTGTGTTGCATGATGTTATCTTCGAATCAGTTGTTCAGATTTCTGGATTTAAATGTGCAAGGTTTGTCTCAAGAAAAAACAATGCAAAATAATAATAAAAAAGTTGTAAGAAATTAAAAAGAAAAACAAAAGAATAAAAACAAATTAAGCATTGACTGCTCCTTCGAAAGACCAGCAGAAATTAGCCTTACAGTTATCCATAATGTCGTACATGTATACCTAAATCTTTCTTCCTTCTTTCTTTTGTCCTTTTCCTCATTCCAGTTTTTCCTTCTCATTGAACAAATTCGTACCTTTCAGTTTTTATTTACTCTTTCAGTTTCTCATATTAGCAAGATAATATATTCGCACATGTGGGTCTGACTTATTTCACTTACCAATATTGCCTCTAGTTGCATTCATTTTCCTACAAAAGCCTTTAATATATCTTTTTTATTACTGACTAATACTCCATGATGTAAAAATACTATATTGTTTTTATCCACTCCTCTGTTGATGGCCATTTAGGTTGTTTCTAAGATTTATCTATGACAAATGGCACTGCTATAAACATGAGTGCATATTTCTCATGGTGTGATGATTTTAGTTCTTTTGGAAAAATACCTAGGAGAACAGCTGGCTTGAATGGGACCTCCAATCTTAGCTTTTTGAGGAATCTCTATTCAGATTTCCATAGTGGTTGTTCTTCAGCCTACACTTCCACCAATAGTGGAGAATGATTCCTTTTTCCCTACAGGCTCTCCATCATTTGTCATTGGTTGATTTCTTGATGATAACCGTTCTTTCTGGTTCAAGATGGTATTTCAACATTGTTTTAATTTGCATCTCCTGAATGACCAATGATGTTGAACATTTTTTCATATATTTATTTGTCATTTATATCTCTTCGTTTGTGAAGTTCATTTTCATTTCAGATGCCCATTCTTGGGTTGTTTTTTTTTTTTTTAATTTTATTTTTTTATTTTTTTTTCTCGGATCTCTTTTTTCCCCCCATAATTTTATTGAGAAACAAATAGCAATGACACAGTTTCAAACCAAATTGGTAGGACAGCTTCAATAATTAACACATTGCATACATTCTTCCTAGTGGGTAATTGCTGTACAAGATGCAGACATGATATCCTATTTACAAACACCATTAGAACAAA